AGTGTCTCCTGTAAAGAGACCCTCGCAGGCCGTCTCCCGCAGTCTCGAGGGTATACGCAAACACTGGCCACCCTCGTCACCTATTGGATAGGCAAACGACTCCTCCGCAAACTCCGGCACGGGGATGTTGTCGTGCGGTTCGGTGCCCTCCTTGGTCAAACAACGCCAGTTATTCCACAGGGCAGCCCTCTCTGCTGGACTGACAAAACAGGCACGCACTGTGTGAGGCATGGCAGTAAGAAGAGGGGACACACACGCAAAACCTACCCTTGATGTCCTCCAGGCGGCTCTCTGATAGTATGTGTTCTAAAATATCAGGGAGGAGGGGGAGGGTTAGGAAGATGTGTTATGAAGCGCAGACAACTTACTGTTATCAGCGGATATTGGTTGTCGCTCATCGGTGTTCTCGTCCACCACGTAGGTTGATTGACGAAGCTGCGCCTCGAGATCGCTAAAAAAACAGACTAAAAGGTAAGAATAAGAGAAATAGCGCTTTTGCATATTTCATATTCCTGCTTAGCATGTAGGTCAATTACTAAGCACACAAAAAATGCCGCACGCACGGAATTCGACGGTCCCGTTGAGGCATCTCAAAGAGTATGCCTAACAATTTGCGCGTCTCCAATACCATTAGTGAAGCCTTATCTGTCTCTATTTTCAGTCCCATTTTTCTGGTAAAGAAAGAAGCTTTAAAGTCATTATAATAAGAGGGTACTAAAGACTCGGCAAAAAGATTGGTGGATGAGATAATTCGACGAAATCCACCCCGACTTCTCCATTTTAGGTACCCAACTCAGTTCATATTAAATTCCGTTGTTATGCCATATCTGAGCTACGTTTAGCACCAGCAGTGTTTTTGTCTATAAGCGGCTGTGATTTGACCATTAAACTAGTAAATAAATATAAGAGTAATACATTTTTATGCTATAATACCAAAAATGAGCGTCTTGAATAACCCCTACGTGATCCTATATTGTTCTGCTCTAGAACGCGGTAATGACTACGAAACTAGAGACAGGATAACTTGATATCGTACTGAAGACCGGATACAGCACTACACCCCAAAGGATACCTGTGGAATAGAACATATAAACGCTTAAGGTTCTCAACATTATCAAACTAACAATAACAAAACTCCTACAGTATTATGTGGGTGGGAGCACTATCGAAGA